ATCTGTGCTTCCCTCAGTGTTCTGGGGAGGGTTTGGGGTGCCCTATGCCACCCCACATCTGTGCTTCCCTCAGTGTTCTGGGGAGGGAGGATTTGGGGTGACCCCCTGTCTGTAGCTTCCCTCAGTGTTCTGGGGAGGGTTTGGGGTGCCTTGTGTGACCCCACATCTGCATTTCCCTCAGTGCTGCAGGCTCCTGGCTTCCTTGCAAAGCCTCTTTTTTGTGACTTTGACTTTTACCTGCTGCTTTGTCCGCAGGCTTCCTGCCCCCCATCCCCCCCTTGAAACTAGTTGAAGAATATTGAACTACTTTTTGTTCTCTGGCTGAGATTTAGCATCTGTTTGAGCTGGCTATTTCTATGGCAACTTGTCAGTGAAATTATGCCATGACCGTGCTTGGGTTTCTCAAATGCCATTGTCCAAATCAGTTCTTTATTTATGATGGGAAACGTTGTCCTTGTTTATTTATAAACTATTCTACTGTAAATAAGATTAAATAAATTTGGTTGTTTTTATGGCTTTGTGCAGTGAATAAATATTAAAGGAATAGCAGCAGCAGGGTGGAGAAAAGGCAAGGTCTGAATATAGAGATTAATTAAAATCTGTGAGAACCTGATTTCTCTGACATTTTAAATTACGTTGAGCTGCAATGTAATTTAATTTTCAAGGCACTTAAGTGGTCTGTCCTTGAGTATTGACTGGTTATCTTTTGCCCCATATACAGAATTGGAATAAGTATTTACCTTATTGCTGTAAAAGTGAGTACTGCTGCGTAGCTTCTGCTTTTCAAAAGTGCTTTTAATCAGTGAGCAAGCCAACATCATTTACTGTAAATTAATGGAATAAACCTCTAATGGCTGCAGTAGGTTAATAGAAATGCAGTTGAAACTTGCACCAAAATCACCTGTCTTGTGCAAACTCTTAGAGCACATCAGAAAGATGTTAAAGAGTCCCAGTTTAACTCATAATTTTTCAATTTTACATATGCTTGCGTCCATAAGGGAGCAACCCAGCTCTGTACAAACACAAGTGTAGAGCAGGAGCTTTTGAGGAAATGCATGATTTCAGCATAGCTAATTTGTCATCTTTACTACTGAAATTTGTAACACATATCCTTATGTAGAAAGTAATGGCAGTTCTTTCACTTCCAGGACATATCTGTCACAATTACTAATTGTCTCGGGGAGTTTTCTGTTTCTGGAGTAGAAAATGGTTGTAAAAGCAAGCTCGTTTTCACACTTCTCATCATGGGGATCAGGTGCTGAAGCATTACAACAGTGACCTGAGCTCGTTATTTGTGGGTCAGCCGTGTGTGTTTTCAGTCCAAATTGGACTCACCTGTGCTTTCAAAGTTAATCACCGTATCTTAAAATTGTTTTACAGCTGGTGCTGTTGCTCAATAAATATAGTCACCTTTTGGTTTTTCATAAAATACTAGGTTAATTCAATCTGTGATCTAACCTCTCAAATGTTTTAAATTGTTACTGTGCAACATCATAGGAAATTTTCTGTTTATTTGGAGCTAATTAGGTACTTTAATTTATTTGCAGGTGTGACTTTTGGGATATTCAGAATAGTTTTGTATACTGGAGAAATGAAAATGCCAGAAAATCACTTAGTATTTTGAACATATTCTTCTTAATGGCTGATTCCCAACCTATAAAAATGTAGAAGGAAATTGTTTTAAGCCTTGAAAAAGCCATGCAGTATCTAGCTGTGGAAATAATTTCAGGAGGTTTCAACATTGATCATTTTAGTATACACAACAGCTTGAGCTGATGCAAAGTATGTTTAGTGTCATGAGACTACTGTGCTTGCAAAATTGAGGAATTTTTTGTCCTTCTTGGAAGAAAAATAGATCCAATGCATACATTTTCTCCTAAGATGTGGTTTTTTCACAGGATTCAATGGCAAAAAATATTCCTGAAGGTGCTCATAGAAGAATAGCTGAGATAATAATTTGTACTGTAGCGTTCCATGAGAACTGGAACACCTTAATTTTGGTGTCATTTTCTTTTTGGAGGAAACAGTGGCTGTGTGTTGTGGTTTTGAAAGGAGTTTGTAGCATTACTCCATCGGGCACCTCATGTATCCTCACCTTTGCTTCATGGGCTGAACATTGGAGTGCAGAGCTCATAGGGAAAACAGCCTGGAAAGCTGCTCTAAGCTGTGTCTAGCTTTCAGATGAATTCCTTCATTGACCTAGGACAGAACAAGTGGCAGTGGTTGCCTGGGAGTCGTGGCTTGTGCAGCTGCAGCTCCTGCTGCTCCAGTGCAGTCAGGCTGAGGGACCTTGGTGCACAGGGGAGGGTGGGAGTACCTGCTGCCAGGTGAGTGGCTCCCGTGAGAGGAGATGGCCTTTTGCTGTGCTTGGTGCTGACTGGAGCTTGTACACTGAGAAAAGCAGAGCTAACGCTGTGCTGTGCGAGCTTGGGAGTAAGAGAAACGTGATAGGAACATGAGTGCAGGGGCACTCTAGTCTTGGAAGGAAGTTTGGGGGTTTTTCACATGGGTGTGCACAAGGAGAGAGGAGGGATGAGTGAGAAGCTGCAGGTCAGGAGCGGGGCACTTGGTGAGGTGCAGCAGGGCTGGGCCTCTGCCCTGGAGGGGTATGGGTATGGCCAGGCCAGTGACCATTGTCACAGCTGCTCTGGCACCACCTTTTGGGAACCTTAGGTTGTAATTTGGTTTCCAGAACTGCAGTGGCTTGTGCCACACTTGGGCACTTCTCACAAGTTTAGTTTTGAAAGTGATAATGGAGCTTGTTCAGGTGATACTCTCTGCACTGCTGTCAGTCCCTGTCTTAGTACCTCGTAATCACTGATCTCTCATCCAGACTCTGCTGCCTCGTGATTCCACTACTTTCTGTTTCTAGGGTAAAATCTCCCACCTGGCAGAATGAGTAATTCCCCTGCCTTTATGATCCTGCCACTGTTTCCCCTCAGCTGTCCCTGTGCAGCTCTGAGCTGCCAGCAGCAGAAATTGCAGGTGGCCAAGGCTGTGTTGGTTGTTTGTCCTGCCCTTCCAACCCTGAAGTGTTGCCCATCTGCCTTTCCAAGTGAGAGCATCCTTCATGCTCCTCCTGCTGGTACTTTTGGGATTCCCAGTGTTCAGGGCATGGTTTCCTCTTGAGCAGCCTCCCCCAGTACTGGTGTGTTACAGCTCTGTGCTGGTACCTCCAGGGGCAGCATCCCAGCTCTGCTGCTTCCCAAGCTTTAGAGCTGCCCAGACAGATTCTGGGTGCAGTCCTCTCGAGCTCTGCCCCTGGTGCTTCACCTTGTGACCTGCCTGTTCCTTTTTCTGAAGTTATTGTTAAAAATGTGGTGTGGTCACAATTTTCAAATGAAATTTTGCATGTAAATAGAGGTTTTTTATTACCTCTGTGCATCCAGAAATTTTGAATCTGTTGTGCTTTCAGCTCTCTTATTATATTTGTTACTCTTGATTGACTCATGCTTTTATCATGCCTTTTTTTATTCCCCTCTCCCTTGCTTCAACATAGAATTTATGACATTTTGTCTAAATAAAAAGATTTAATCCAAATTGATCTGATTCCAAATCAAGGGGTTTTATGCTTCAGAAAATCTTGTCCAGTTTTATTTTTTAAATATCTATTTAAAAGTTTTGCCTAAGGCAGAGAGAGGTGTTGGAAGCCTTGAAAATTTGAGATTTTTGTGTGGTTCCAGTTCCACCAGGTTAAAATTGTTTTCCATCAACCTAATACTTGTACAGAGATGCTTTGATAAACACTGGGGCTTTAGATGCTTAAAGGAGCCTTTAATCGCTTGCTGTTCATTTTTCCTGTAGTTGTGTGTCTTCTGTAAGAACACATGCTTGTATTTTAGATGCTTTTAAATTCAGCAGTTTTCCTTTATCTGAATGGCTTTGTTTATTTTGACTTTGTGCATTTTCCTCTTTTCCTTTTGAGTCACAGTATCCAATTTTCTAAAGCATTGTCTTGGTCTCTTATCTCTCTCTAAACTGCTAGGTGATACCTTGGTGCAACACAAAGCAAACAAATTCAATTTAATAAAACATCCTGCATACAAATATCCTTTGGTGTGTGTAAATCTTACCCGAGGCAGGCCTGTCCCTCCTTCCCTCCCCTGCTCCCCTCTCTTTTAATCCAGATGTGTCCCTGCTGAGAGGCTTTGCTCTTGCCCAGCACTGTCAGGCGTCCGCGGCTTTGTGCGCTGTTTCTGCAGCAAACGCTCCCGTGTTCCTTTGTAGCTTCTGTCAGAGCGGGAAATTCTTCAGCTGGGTTACAGCTAGTGGTGGAGCAGCAGCTCCAGCAGCAGCAGCAGCTCAGAGCAACCTTCTGTAGGTGAGGAGAAATGAGATCTTCCTGAGAAGAATGGAGGGGCCAGCAAAGATCAGCAAGTGTAAGCCCATGGCAGGCGGAATCAGAAGGCAGGTGCTTCAATTACCAGTAAAGCATTTTCTTCAAAAAGATAACCTTGCTTTTTTTTCTTATTCTGGCAGAAGAGAACAAAATAAGCCAAATCTTCCTTCACTTTTCCATTTTTAAGCCTTTTCATTCCCAGCAGCATTAGATTAAAATTTCTTGAGTATTTTTAGGAACTACTTGAATTTGAAAATAGAAGAAACCCAGCTTGTGCTGAGTTTGGGAAGAGAGCAGTTGTGCTGTGGAGTTTATGGAAGTGTAAACAGAATTTCTACAAGGATAAACCCTACAAAAGGGAGACTGCCTTTCTTGATGGCTTTCAAAGCCAACAAGTGTCTTCCTCTTAATTTCAGTAACAGCATTTCTTAGTCATTACAGGATGTCCTGCTAAGCAGTTACAAAACTACCTTATGATCTTTATTTCACAACTTACAACTTTTTCTTGTGTTTTCAGAAAGAATGCAGTTCTAGGTTATGAAATAAGTCTCAGAGCTAGATAAAGTCGCAGAAAATTAAAC